ACCGTCAGGCAAATACAAGTCTTGTTCCAGCGATCGCTTCTTGTACTTCTGAAGTTGCGGCTCATTCGACGAGACCACGCCACACATTAAAATTTTCTCAGGCTGAAATCGTCGCCGGAGGTGACAATCGTTTGAGTCGCGAGTCACTTTAGTCGTGTGTCAGTGTGTCAACAAGTACACTGACCTGCCTTACTCATATTCGGAGCTGCGGGTCCACTTTGGCCAAAGTAATTCGCCACAGGCCAACGCGTCGTGTAACACCGATGCTAGGACGCCAGGCGGCTGAGCAATCATCACGGCCAAGTCCACCACAGGTGATGAAAGTTCGGCAGGACAGGACTCGCAAGCTGGCCATCGTGCAATTAGAGCAGGAGCGGGCAACTATCCTCGACAAGGGGGAGGGCGGCGTTAATCGTAGTGTAGTAGCATAGTGACCGTATCCTATAAATACTGCAACTGTCAGTGCATGCACTACCCGTTTGTGCTCCTGTCCTTGACTATGGATCCGTGATGGATTTCGAAAAGTCCGGCGTCCAAGTGATCAACTCTATCTCTTCTAAATTTTTTGGGGTATTTAGCATGTCTGATCCTAACCTTCTTTGATCTGATACTCACGGAAACCCGCCTATATCGTTCATTGCCCTGTTTGTCTAATCAACCACCCAATTATTGCACAGGTTAGCCCCATTCAGAAGCCGGCACCACTCTCTTGAACAGGTGTTTTTTTTATTCTGGCAATTACAACCGCGCTGGACGCTAACGCATAAACCTGCTAACCGCTTCTCCTCCTCCTCCTCACATGTTTCCTCCCACAGGTAACACTACGTGCTCCATCAGGACTCTTCCGCGCAGCCCGTATCCCTCCACCTTAAGGCGCCTGTCCTGTCAGCATGCTTCCCGGATCCATCTTCTCATTCGCCACCGCGGGTGGCACCTTCTTCTTCCTCCTCTTCCTCGTAAACCTCGTCTTCTTCCGGCTCATACATATGGTTCCCACCACCGAGTCCCCATCAGTAGCAGCAGCAGAACTTGCCCGCTCCGGCTGCCGTTCTACAGATGCCCTCTGCGTTCCCTGGATCACTAGGCTCCTGTTTGGTCTGCTCGAGGTCTCCACCGCGGCCCGCTACCTCATCGCTTGGGTGTCCTGGCTGCAACCTCTCATTATCCTGCCCCTT